GCTGCTGCTGCTGCTGCTGCTGCTGCTGCTGCTGCTGCTGCTGCTGCTGCTGCTGCTGCAGGCTTTAATAGAGTTAAATGAAGCAAACGCAGTGCGGGCTACATACGAACAAATAGCCAGCAGACTGAAAACAGAAAGAATTGGTCTCCATAAACACCTAGAAGCAATAGAAGCAAACCTCAAGGTCTCTTGCTGCTGCTGCTGCTGCTGCTGCTGCTGCTGCTGTTGCTGTTGCTGCTGCTGTTGCTGCTGCTGTTGCTGCTGTTGCTTTTGCTGCTGTTGTTGCTTTTGTCGTTGTTCTTGTTGTTGCTGCTGCTGCTGTTGTTGTTGTTGCTGCTGTCGTTGCTTCTGCTGCTGCTGTTGCTGCTGTTGCTGCTGCTGCTACTGCTGTTGCTGCTGCTGCTTTTCATTATACCTCCTGGGCGCAGTGGGCGCAGCCTGAAACTGCTGAGTTAGTATGGCTGCACTTTGTCAGCTAGCTAGCCAGCTAGCTAGCTAGCTATCTAGCTAGCTGAGTAGCTATCTATCTAGCTAGCTGAGTAGCTATCTATCTAGCTAGCTGGGTAGCTATCTAGCTGGCTAGCTGTCTAGCTAGCTAGCTAGTAACCAGCTCCATCTAGCCAGCTAGCTAGCTAGCTAGCTGGCCAGCTAGCTAGCTAGCCAGGGTGCAGCGCTAGTTTTCTGCTGCAGGAGAAGAGACAGGAACACGAGCAGCTGTTGGGGGTCTGCCACGACGCCGCGCATGCAAATGAGTTGGCGCAGGTGAGGCGCTGCAGCAGCAGCAGCAGCAGCAGCAGCAGCAGCAGTAGCAGTAGCAGCAGCAGCAGCAGCAGCAGCAGCAGCGAGGAGACGAAGAAGGAGTAGTTGTTCGATCCAGCAAGGGGCACAGGCACCAACAGCCTGTGCCTCCCCCTGAAGCATGAGGGTTTAGGGTTTAGGGTTTAGGGTTTAGGGTTTAGGGTTTGGGGTTTAGGGTTTGTGGTAGGCTGAGCTGCATCGCTTAACCAAAACCCTCGATGAAGACAGACAAAGAAGAGGGGCGGAGGTTAGGGAGAAGCAAACCATCATTCGCCAGTGGTTTCAGACCGAGAAAAGGTACACAAACCCTAAACCCTAAACCCTAAACCCTAAACCCTAAACCCTAAACCCTAAACTTTTGCTCTGAATCAGGATTTCTGTTTTCATCGTTTGAATCAGTCGCCGAAGGTCAAACGCTTATGGGCCACAACAGTCTAGGGTTTAGGGTTTAGGGTTTAGGGTTTAGGGTTTGTGATTGGGGTGGTTTAGGCTGCGGGAAGCTGCTGCAAGTCAAGAGGCTGCAGCACGATCAGGTGAGAGCTAGCTACCTACCCCCCTGGCTAGCTAGCTA